TTGAACTGCTGTGGCTCAATGCTATATAAGGATGTGCCATACCTGTCTGACCTGCAAAGTTTTTGGCCTCATTCTAAAAACACTTATGCTGTTTTACGAGACATAAATTGGAGTCTTCTTGGAGGCACAGGCTGTCAAAGGCACGTCTTGATGTGGCAATGCAAAATGCAAAAAGGCGTTTCTTCACCCAGGTGCAAAATGCAGTCATGCAAAGGGATATTTGCATCCTTTTGAGTCACTTTTGTGCATGCTCACAATCTCATTTTGCACGATGCAGCAAAACAAATGCACCCCCATGAAGTCCTGAAATGGGGAGGTTTTTGTATGCAAGCAATGCTCCTGTTTATAAACTCCAGAATGCATTTCTCAGTTCTGCCCACCTCCAAAAACTCTGCAAAGTCATTTTGCCACCTCCTTTTGCACCAATGCAAAAGGGTGCAAAAGTGATGCCCTGATAAGTGCCAAACCGGTGCAAACCACATTCACACCCAAGTTGAAGCAACCACATGAACTCACTCCCTTTTGGGGAGTTGGCCTTCGCATCGGGCGCATCTGCACTGCAGAATGAATGCCGCTTTACACCACTTGAATTCCCACGGCTCAGTGCATTAGGATCCTGGGAGTTGTAGTTTGGCAAGGTCTTTCGCCTTCTCTGCCAAAAAGCATTCACCAAACGACAACACCAAGATTCCAGTTCTGCCCAACTCCAAAAACTCTGCAAAGACATTTCACCGCCTCCTTTTGCATCCTTTTGCACCAACGCTACCTGAAGGGATGCCCTGATAAGAGCCAAACAGGTGCAAACCACATTCACACCCAGATTGAAGCAACCAAATGAACTCATTCGCTTTTGGGGAGTTGGCTTTTGCATCGGGCGCATCCACACTGCAGCTTTGCACCACTTGAACTGCTGTGGCTCAATACTATATAAGGACGTGCCATACCTGTCTGACCTGAAGTTTTAGCCTTATTGTTGAAACATTTGCGGTGTTTTTACGAGTCTTCTTACATTTCCTTCTCTTCTCTTCTGCAGGGCTGTGTTTGCTGCGACTGGGTGGCGTTCTGCTGCTGCTGCCCTTGCGCCCTTTGCCAAATGGCCAGGGAGCTGAAGAGCCCTTGCTAGCCCCCTCCACCCACGCCGGACCCTCCATTCCCCCCCTTGCAACGGGCAAATGGACCCCAAGGACAGACTGACCCATAGCTAGGGTCAACTTCCACCCAAAGGACTGGGCCCTGCCCCGTTTTCACACCAATTGACTGCAAAGCATGGAAAGAGCCATTGCGAGTGGAAATACCTGGAGGCAGGTAGAGCCTGCTATGAATGCACTATGTAATGCATACAAAGCCGGTGATGTATTTATTAAAAAGGGAGAAAAATGCCATGGTTGTGTGCTCTGTCCAGTTGCAGAAGTGCTGGGATGTATTGCTTTTGCATCCACATCCTTTGGTGAGGGAATTTTGGCCCATGTTTTGTTTACAAATGAAGTAAAACCCAATGCAGCATCAAGGAAACATTAAATTACACTATGCTACGGAGCCTCCGGTAGTGCTGTTG